AATAAAAAAATTGATTGATAAATATAAAAAATAAAAATAAAAAGTAAAAAAGTTTATATATATTATAAAAAATTCATATGTAACTATTATGTTTAAAATATATATTATAAATTTCTACCAAAATCTTCTCAAAATAATTTTGTTATACATTTTTTATATTTTTAATATAGTTTTAACAGTTTTGACTTTTATTATATTAAAAGAGTTTTATTATATTTCTTATTATAATTTTAATATAGTTTTATTTAAGTATCAACTATTATTAAAAGATTTTATCTTTCATTTATAATATTTATAAAATTATTTAAAAAATAACTTTAGAATTTTTAAAAGAATTGAAGTTGAAAAAAAATATTAAACTTAATTAAAATTATTATTTTAATATTATAATAAGTGGAGTATTTACTATTTTTAATAAGATAATATATCAGTTATTTCTTAAATTGTAGAGGTTTGTAAGCAAATTTGCTTATTTATTTATTATTCTTTAAAGCATAGGTATAAATTAATTATAAAACATTGTAGAAAATTATAATATTTTAATATCTAGTGATTATAAAAAGATAAAATAAAGTTTTTTAGATTTGTTATATTAAGATATATCTAATGATAATATTTAAATTTTTTAAAATTAATAATTATTAATATATATTAATTTTTCAATTTTTCAATTTTTTAAAATAACTTATTATTTAATAATTATAAGAAAATAAAACTCTCTTTAACGATCACTTGACTAAGAATTTTTACGTAAAAAATATATATTTAAGAATAGTTATAACTTAGCTGTAAATAAAAAATAAAACTTCCTTTACAAACTTCTTTTTCTTTTTGTTTTTCCTAAACCTTTTTATTCTAAAAAACAGTTTATGTTAGTCCAAATGGTAGTATTTTTTTATTAAAATATTTTTTTTGCTACTTCTCTTAACTATATTTTCATTTTTCTCTTTTTTCTTTTTGCTTACAAAAGTGAATATCAGAAGGTATCCTAAATGATGATCAAGATCAATAATAACTTTGGATTAACTAATCGTATATGATAATTTTTTCATTATTTTTCTAAATAAGCATACTCCTTTTAAATCTCTAACATCATAAAGTTTGCTAATCTTAGTAAGATTTTTTAATTTCTTATAACTTTGTAATTTAACCTCTGTGTAATATAGACTAGCGGCTATAATTTAAATTAACAGACATATTAGCATAAAAGTTTAAGAGTACTGAAGAACTTTCAATATAACTTAGTGATAGATGCTCCTGTGATGAAAGGTTGTTGTAACTAGAAATTAACTAGCCAATTTAGCTAAGAACTTATTGAAATCAAATTTTTATTAGCTTCTTCTTGGTTTAATAATAATTTGAGTTACTTATTTTTATATTAAATTTAAATTTAGGATAAGAATTATTGTTAGAAAAAAAAGAGAGACGTAGTAATAATTTAGTTATCGTGTATTAATAAAGATTTTATTAATAATTATTTTCAGAATATAGTAGAATAATCAGTTGGTTTAGTGTTAGTAAATTTTTAATTTACAAGAATATTTTAAGTAGTTCAATTTATTCTTTTTATTATTTATATCTAGTTTTTAGAATTTTTATATATTAACTTACTGAATTTGAATTTTTATAATAAATGAGTATTACTGCATCTTTAAAAAATAATTATAAAAAAATAAAATTTAGTTTATTGGATTTATCTCATTAAGATCTATTAAATGATTATATTTTTATATTTTTGAAATCAATAGATAGCAAAATATATAAGTTTAAAATTTTAACTTTTTTTTTATAATAATTTATCATATATTTATCTTTAAAATATCACTAATTAATTAGAAAATATCATAAAATTTATTATAAAAATATTAATTTTAAATAAATTATTTTAAAAATATTTAAATTTATTATAAATAATTTTAATTATTAAAAATTGCAAGTAAATTTACTTGCAAAATGCTTAATGAGATAAATTCCCTTCTAATTTACTTTTATAAAAATTAAAATTTTTTTTTTTAAATTAATTTTATAAATATATATACTATTATAATAAATTTTATTTTTTAATTATATAATTCAAGGTTAAGGTTACAGTCAACTCTTAATATAGCAAACTTTTAGTATAATAAATTCTTTGAACAAATATAATAAAAATACTCTTGTTATAGTGAATTGGCAAATCAAAATTCTTAAAATCTTCTTTATATCTTTATAGCGAAGTTGAAATCTAGAACATATAATAAGAGTTGACTATATTTATAAGCTAAAATTTATAATTTTTAAAAAATTATAAATTAAAAAATTTTATTATTGACCTTTGATTATCTTATTAATATTTATTTTAGTAATATTAATTATAATAAAATATTATAAAATTTATCATGAAAAATAATTTTAATTATTACAATTTTTATAATTTATTAAGAAATTTATGATTTTATTAATAGTAAAGTAATTTAATTAATTCATAAACATATGAATTTTAAGAAAATTTTTTAAAAATTATTATAATTATTTAAAAACTTCTTAATAAACTTAAAATTTCTTCTAATAAAATTGATAAAATATATATTAAACTATATTTTTATATAATAATTATATTATTAACATAATATTTTATTTTTTATTAAAAAATTAATACTTTTTTTTTTATATTTATAGGCAAATTTGCCTGTTCTATAATTTAAGAAATAATATTATCAATGATTCATAATTTTATAAAAAGTAGATTAAGAAAGACAATGTCTGAAAAATCTAATATTAATATAATAAAAGTATGTATTTTTCATGGCTTATTTATATATTTTATTTTTATTTTATTTTTTTTTATTTACTTTTTTATTAAATTAATTTATTTTTTCTTTTCTTTCTTTTCACTTTTCTTTTTTTCTCCTTTTTTTTCTTTTTTTTCTTTTTTTCTTCTTTTCCTTCCTTTTTTTCTTTTTCTTTTTTTTCTTTCCTTTCTCCTTTTCTCCTTAAAATATGTGCAATATTTGGCTTTAATCAAAAAAAAAAATTATTAATCCCTAAGGTAATTAATGATTATAACTACTGTATGAATGAAGTAAATTTTTGCTGGTCAAATAAAATCCTACTACAATACATAATAAACAATATGAAGGAATTGGATGCTTCTTTTTTTGTTGTTAGATAACGTATTTTTAATGCTTATTTAATCATCTAAATGTTGGAATCAGCATATGAACAAAAGGAATTTCGTCATGAACTTATTTGGGATCTTATTGAATTTGCAAATGATACAAAAGAAATTCAATTAAGAAATTGTTTAAAAAAGAAAATAAGAGAAGGAATGAAAAAAGAGACTAAAAATAACTTGATATTAATAATATTTTAGAATTAAAATATCAAATTACAACTTTTTCATTATACCTTTCATATAATCTTAAATTCTAGTGTTAAGTATTTTCATAAAAAAATCTTATCAAATGATCTATGAAGCTGTAATTAATAAGTGAAAATAAAATTTTTTTTTTTAACAAAAAAAATAAAATAACCCAATATATAAATACTGTAATGATAGGCAAAACTTATATGACTTTATTACATCCCCTTCCTCTTCTACGTCTTCTTGATCTATGAATAGACAATTGTAAATAACTATTGGTTTTAAAAATTGCACCATCTTCCCACATTTTCTTAGCAATTCTAACTAAATTTTTTGCATCATCAATTCCTGAATGTTCATGTCCTTCAAATTGCAGGCCATAAGTTGCTAGCATACGAACTATATTACATTTTCCATGGTTATAAAATTCTGAATAAAGTGTTCGAATGTCTACCCAAGGAAGAGAAAAATATGTAGGTCTAGCAATTTTAGAAATCGAACATTGTTTTGTGATGAAATCACGTATGTCCCATGGACCTAAAATACAAATAAAGTTACTATAAATATTTTGTTCGTAGTAACCGCTTATAAAAAAAAAAAAATCTAACACGTACCATCGGTGATAAAAGCACAGGAGTTTTCGTAAAAGAGTTTATGCCGGTGCAGAAATTCTTGGAATTGATCCAACATCACAGGAAATATTGGACTTACATCTATCGTTGACTATTAATCCCAGAAACAAAAAACGTTAAAATCTATTGATAAAGTAGTACATTTTTTAAGGTCTAAAACTTTACCTGAGGTATTCCGGTCAATTCTTTACAGAAATCAGATAATATCGGATTTTTACTTGGCTTAACGTATGAATGAAATACATCAACCTAAATATATAAATATACCAATGGTTAAAAATGTATCTTTCAGAATAAACCTAACCTTCAAACTAAATAACTTACAATGTCAAATGACTTGCTATCAACCAAAAGAATTGGAAATTCTATTATCTCATTCATATAATCAAATCCTCCTCCACTTATACATGTTGCTTCAACATCAAAGCATAGATAATACTTAAACGGTTGTTCTGCCTTACTAAAAATGTAAGCAGCAAGTTAAAATCGATTCCTGCTAAAATGTAAGATTTATGCAAAAGTAAAAAAAAAGAACTCACGTCTTCAGGTAAAATGTTAAATCCCGCTCTTCTTCCTCGAGACAGCTGTCACCAGAAGACGATTCCGTTTGCACATTAAAGGTCATACCGCTTTTACCCTCGAAAGATTTATCATGGGTTAACTGCCGTCTCATGAATTTAGTTCCAGCGTGTATTGATCGAGTCTTACACAGAAAAAAGGAAAGATAGGCAAAACTTAATTTATTGATTTGCATAAGGGTGGATATTCTTTTGAGTTTTATACAAAAGGAATTTCTTGAATTTTCGCGTCAAGATTTATGTATTATTACAAATCTGGTAATGGTACATTGGCACAATTGATACAATGAGGATAGTCTAGAATGGTAGGTCAAAAAGCGATTATCAAAAAATTCAATGCACACCCAAAAGTACAGTATAATGGCAACAAATTTATAAATAAGCGATTGTCTTCGCTTTGTCTTTTACTTTTCATTTTATTCCTCAAATAATTTTTCTTTCATTGATTTAATTTGCATACCAAATTTCTAACTTATTACTCTTTGAATACAAAGTAAAAGCTGTGTTAAATTCTTCTTGACTAGACATTATAATAAACTCACCATCATCATCTTTATATTTCAATTTCTGGATGGTTGCCAAACAGAAAACCTTTTCAATATATTCTTTGATTTCTTGATATTGAGAATGTCCATCAAAAAGAAAAATTCGAATTTCGTCATTAATATGAAATTTGATTACCATTTCATTATTGGATTTGATAAAGCTTTCATTCATGTCATTATGGATTAATCCCCAACTGCTTCCCCAACTTGAACGTGGTACGATTTCGCCTTCCGGAATTCTCGAGTTGGTTTTTTTGTTAATAAGATAATCAATATGTAAACCTACTATATCAATCTCTTTTGTGGAGACATCTTTATGAAACCTCAAAAAGATAAATTGCGCTTCTCGTAAATTCTCTTTAATCACAAGTTTCTTACCATTACTATAACTGTTATTCAACTTATATTCGATTAAACCTTTTTCGCCTTCTTTCAATATCAATTTTATTTCCCTGCTTTTTACTTTTTGAATGCCACTTAAAGCTTCCAACGGTATAAAAAGTTGCCCATTATATAAAAGATATAAAACGATACTTTCTTTTAGATATCTATACCGAAATTTAGGGGGTGCGCATTTACCGATTGTGCTATTTGGAGGTTTAATACAATCATCGGCATGTTCTTTGAATTCGTTAAATTGAATTTTTGTTAAATTTAGTTGAGCACATGCTCCTTCCACCTGCCAATTACGAATGTAACTTGCACCGAAAGTTGGGAAAGGTGATGATGATTGAGATGTGTTAGGTGTGTTCATGAAAAAGAAATCGTCCTCCATTTACTATTAAAACCAATTTTTATTTTTTTTAAGAGAGGAATGAAACTTTTAATCAACGTATGTGGCGGTACTTTTTAGGAATGAATCGTTTTAACCAACGTATGTGGCACAAGTTTTTGATAAAATCCACGATTATTTAAATCAGCCAATCATAATTATACGAGATTCGTATAATTTTTAATCTGATCAATTCTTTTTTTTTCCTCGATCACTTAAAAATGACTTCTTCCTTATCAAAATTAAGATCTCATAATATTCTTTCAGATTTGACTCGTCGCGATTGTTCCTTTCTATTCCAATCTAAAAGTTCTATTATAAAATGGAATTTGCCAAAAGTATTATCACGAAATTGTCAACATACTTTTACTACATTACCAACTTTTTCGTATATATTAAGGGTTGAAAACTTTCGCTTGACTAGTTTTCGAACACTTAATTTGAGACCATTGAAAAGTCGCCTTACACCAAAATTGAGTTTTGTTCGCAGCCAAACTTCAACAATTTCTCCTCCTCCTCCTCCTCCAACTTCCACCACCGTAAACTTACCAAAAAAAATAAAAGATTCCCGAAGCAAACCAAAGAGCTCTAATGTTGATACAATGAGCCCTGAAGCCAAAAGAATAGTTAAGATATTAGGGTATGCAAGTGGTATCTGGGGAGTAGGATTTATCATATACTCTGGTGAGTCGTATAAATTATTTTTAACAAAATTTCTTGTATCTATTTGACATAATTATAAGGAATCTCACAAATCATTGTGATTGATTATTGATAGTACGCTAAATTCAATCTATGATTTGATTCAGGGCGTCCATTCGAATCTGATCGAGAAACTAAAGTAAGAGATTTTTTTTTATTTATTAAACTACGAAATTTAATTATACAAATTAAATTCTTGCTATGTTTTATAGTATAAAGATTTAGATACTTTCACGGCGTGGTACAAACGAGTGGAGGCTCGCACCAAGGATCTTTTTCACGTAAGTGTTTAAGTGATATTTGTATCGATTCCAAAGTTATTAAAATTATTAAAATTTATTTCTTAGTTTTTCACGGAACCATCATCGGATAAGCTATTGCCGGATCAAGATTCTTTACCACCACCTTCTCCATATACGTTAGTAATTAATTTGGACCAAACTCTTATTTATTCAACTTGGGATGTGAGTATGTGCAAATGTCATCTTATTTTAAATTAATTCACAAATTTCAACTTTATAAAATATTTAGAGAGAAAATGGTTGGCGAACGGCAAAAAGACCTGGAGTAGAATATTTTCTGTATTTCGTGGCACAACTTTTCGAAGTAGTTATTTTCACATCTCAACCTTTCAATGTAAGTCTAACGCGTTTCATTTAGACGAAAGATTTTAGTTATTTACTTCAAAGAATTTTAAGAATAATATTACTTGATATCAATAATTTTATTTTATAGTTTGCTGAACAAATTTTAATGAAACTTGATCCGTTTGGTATTGTCCCTTATAGACTTTATAGAGAATCGACAAGATATGTTGATGGAAAAATAGTCAAGGTTCGTATAAATTAAATAGTTTTTACGTGATTATGACAATATTAATTTACTCGTTATTTTATTTATATAGGATCTTTCAAAACTGAATCGTGATCTTTCAAAAGTTATTATTATGGACTCTAATCCCGATGCTTATTCATTGCAACCCGAGAATGCAATTGCCGTACCCCCGTGGAAAGGAGATCCTAATGATAGTTTCTTGATAGACATCATACCATTCCTTGAACGTATGTATACCATATTATTTATTTTTAAATTTTTTTTTTTTTTTTTTTTTTAGCGATATACTAATGTTTTACTAAAATTCAACTTTATAGATTTCACAATATTTTATGTGAATGATGTTCGTCAAGTGTTGCCACAATATAAAGACAAAGATATTCCAAGTCATTATGCTGAGTGGGAAGAACAATGGAAAGAACAACAACGATTAGAATGGGAAAAAAAAGTTAAACAACCGAAAAAAGGATTGGCGGGTTGGGCTTCAGCCTTTGGTAGCAGTCAAATTGTATGTGAAGATTCCTGATCTATTTATTTCATTTACCTTTTTTTTTCGCAAAAAGATTTTAATTAGTTTTTTCTTTAATAGCAAGAACAAATACCTCCTTATGAACAAAAATTGATGCAAATCCAATTAATTAATAATGATATCAACAATTCATATTTGGATTATAAACGACGTAAACCAGAGATACATCAAATGTACCAAAATAGTATGGAGAATCTGGAGAAACAGCTTCAAGAGAGCATGAAAAAGGAAAAAGTAACGATTTGGGATATTATAACTCAAGTAATAAAATTAAGAATTTCATGATTTATTTATCGTTTATTAATTAACTAACTAATTCATGATTTCCTTTTTTAAAGGGACCACCTCAAGTTCCTATGCCTGATTTACCACCAGATCAAAATAGTATTCAACCACAACCACTTCCACCGTCACAACAACGTTGATAATGTTATATCACAAAAATTATTTAAATATTACTATTCATACATTATTTATTTGGTTATATCTATATTTAAAGGATGAAATTAAGAAAATAATGAAACAATGAATAAGTATATTCTTATATTATTAACTATAATATTGAAATCTAAATTAGCAAAATGAATTTAATTCAAAATTATAAAAAAAAGTATTTTTGCGATTAAAAGTATCAATAAAAATATTAAATATCAACTAATTATTAATATTTTTCTCTATAAATAAGTTTATTGATTAAAATCTGTTTTTGCTAGCAAATTGCAGCAGTTTGATATTTTAAAGTTTACGTAATAATTTAAATATTTTAACTTTATTCATAATTAATAACAAGGAAAATAATTTATAAAATATCTAAAATATCTAAAAAATTTAATATAATAAAGTAAATTAAAAAAAAAAAATTATTAAAAGAAATATTATAAAAATTATCTTTACTAAAAAAAACCTTTACTCTAAATACTAACTAAAAGAAAAATTAAAATAAATATTTTTTAAAATAATTTTAGAAGTTTATTATATATTTTTAATTTATATTATACTTGATATATTTTAATATCAATTACTAATATAATATTATGTAATTTTTTAATTTTATATAAAATTACAATAGTATTTTTATCTAAAAAAAGAACTTAATTATATATTAATTACATTTACTTAATGTATAAAATACATTTTTTTTTTTTACAAAAATTTTATAATAATTTTTTATTTATACTTCTTAAGATTTATAAATATATTTTTTAATTAATTATTTTATATATCATAAATTAATAAAAAAAAAAGTAAAGATTTATGAAAAAATTCATATTCTTTGAATTTTTAATAGTATATATAATATTATATTATTAAGATTATATTGAAAATTAAGTAAAATTTTATGAATTAAATTTACAAAATAGAATTACATAATTTAGATAATTGTTTTCACTAAAATTTTAGATTAAAAATACATTCTGATTTTTTAAATAAGAAAATTTTATTTAGAATTTATTTAAATCATTAAAATGTATTTAAATCAAACTAAAAAAATTCATAATATAAAAATTACTAAAATTAAATTAAAGATTGTTAATATAAAGATTATAATAAAATAATTAAATTAAATTGAAAAGTAATAATTAAAGAAATTAATAATTAAACTTAATATAATATCAGAAATAAAACCTAAAAACTTAATAATAAAAATATTACATCTTATATTAGAAATCAATCAAATAATATATTAGAAAATATTTAATTATAAAAGTTAATGTAGATAATAAATTAATATGATACAATTTATAATATGCTATATATTATAAACTGCTTAAATTTTTATATTAAATTATAATAATTTTATTATATATATATTGATATTTATATTAATAATTAATTGCTGATCTACATGTAACTAATAGAAATTACAATAACAAATGCAATGTTAAATAAATAATAAAAAATTTTTATTTTAAAATCTTTATTTCCTAAGATATAAAAAATGTCAAATGTTAATATAACTCCAGGCAAACTTGTTACAACTGGAAATATTGTACTAAAGCTTCATTATGGTCTATATATACGTGATTAGTAAATTTTTTCCAAAAAAGAAAATTCAACTTACTTCATTCCTATACGTTTAGGATTAGAAGTTTCAATATTATTAAATAAACAGCCTTTTGTTCTTCGTATAGTTTATTATATTCATAGTTTTTTGTAACTTGATTATATTTGTGAAGGAAAAGAACAAAGTAGTGATATTATTATAAGTGCCTTTACATCTGTATATCAAATTGTTTTCAATAATAAAGCAAAATTTTCTGAACTTTTATATTTTAGTTTAAATCAACTTGAAACAAATCAGAAATTATTAGAAGGAATTAGTTTTTACCCTTTTATTATTGAATTAAAAAAAATAACTATATTTTTGATTCTCTTAGAAAAATTACCTGTTCAAAATCAAATAAAATTGGTTGTATTTACCTATCATCTTTTTTTTACAAATATAAAAATAAACAATCTGTTTTTTTTTAATGTATAAATTAAGATTTATATTCAATTACAATTTTTCAGAATAGTCAAATTGTTACTAAATATGAAGACATTTCACCCAATACTGTATGATAACAAGTTGAAGTTTTAAAATTCTTTTCAGGAAATACTTTATTTGCTATAGATCATTTTATAATGTTATATAAACTAAAACAAATATACAAAACAATTTTTTCACACTAAACACTTATACCAAATACATGTATACCCTTAAATTAGAATAATAAAATAATTATAAAGTATTTATTTGAATTACATCTAAAAAAAGTAGTTGAAAAGTCAATTGATATGTAGTATCAAATTTTTCAAAGTTAAAAAGAAAAAGAAACTAATATAATTGAATTATACAGTCAACTCTTGATATAGCGAACTATTGATATAACGAATTTTTTGAACAAATATAATAAAAATACTCTTGTTATAGCGAATTGGCTAATTAAATCTCTTAAAATCTTCACTATAGCCTTATAGCGAAGTTGGAGTCTAGAACATAAAGTTCGTTATAACAAGAGTTGACTGTATACTCATCTTAGTATAATATATGGTTCAAATTATAATTTTCAAGAATGTGAATTACAAGTATAGCGTTCATTATTTTGTATCATAGGATATACAAATATTACTCTGTATAATAAAAAAATTTCTAAGGTAATGTAATAAAATAAAAATTTATATATATAAAATAATAATAATAAATTAAAAACATATCAATTTATAAATTGAATTTTGGATAAACTCATCTAATTCTGAAAAAAAATTGTGAAATACTTAAAGATTTATATTTCAATGAATTTTTGAAAATATTATCAATCCTATCAATTATAAATACTATTCAGATATTTTGGAAATGTTTTCGTGATAGCTATAATATGAATATTAGAGAAATAAATGGTAAACAACGTATATTATCAATAATTGCAAAAAAATTTACATATTAAGAAATAATTAATAATTTAGAAATAGGATAAAGATTATACTTATCAAATATATAAAATATAATAATGATTTTAAATTTATAATATAATTAGGTATCTTCTAGTACTATTAATATAATATAAAAGTTTTTCTAAATTAATAGACCAAGTTGTACTGCATTAGAAAAACCTATTGTTACTCGTTTAAAAATATCTGAAATAAAGAAAAAGAATTTGAATTATTTTTTACTGATAAATAAAATGTAAATATAAGTTCTTATAAAATTGATGCAAAAATACAATTACCAATACTTTATCTTAAAGATCAAAAAAATACACTTTGGAAAAAATTTTCAGCCACTTATCCAGATGGAATAAAACATACTTCCTTTATGTCTCAATTACAAAATAGTCATTTTAAATATCGAGAAGATTTAGGAGGATTGTGTTTAATATGTAATGATTATGGATATCAATCTTTTGAAGATTTAATTAATTTAATTAATATAAAATTTTCTGATAAAATATTACAGGTTAGTTGATATATTTTTTATTATAATTTTAATAAATAATATTATTATACTTATATATAATTTTTTTTTAGAATTATTAGATTCATGAAATAGAATTATTACGTCATCATTTAAAATAATACTATAAAGAAAAATTAATTATAAATGAAAATAGTACAACCAATCATGTTGATTGTATTAATCATTATTTATTATTTGCATTTAGAGAATGTAATTTTCAATATTTTTCATGGTGTCTAAAATGTAATAGACTATTTAGTATATTTGAAGAACTTTTAACACAATTCAATATTATTCATCATAATAAACTTACCAAATGTCAAGAATAATTAATATGTTATTTATTACATTAAACCTGTAAATTATATTTGAATGCCCAATTTAATACTATACTATAAGAATTAGATGATTATAGAGCTATTATTGTTATTGATTATAAAATGCGAATTTTACCTGCAACAGCTCGAAAAATAAAAAGTGAATTTTTCGAAAAAAGAGGATGGACACTTCATACAACTTTAGTCTTTCAAAAGATAAAGAAAATAATGAAAAATTAGAAATTCAAGCTTATGATCATTGGAATTCAGATATTAAACAAGATGCTTAGTTTATAGCATCATATTTTGAAGTGGTATTTAAAACAATAAACCCAAAATCTCGTTAGATTAAAATTATCTTAGATAATGAAGGTTATTATCATAATTCTAAATTAATGGTAATTATAAGTCATTGGTATAGTTAGTATAAAATAGAAATACGTAGGTGGATTTTTCTTGAGCCAGGTGAAGCAAAAACTACAGTTGATTCTTATCATGCAATAGTAAGTAAATTTAATACTAAGTATTAGTTATTTTCTATATTATACTAATTTTTTTAAATAATTAGATTACACATGCAATAAAAAGATATATTAGAATTAGATGCAATCTTACCGAAGGAACAAATATTGAAACAGCACTTTAAGATCTTAATGGAATATCAATAATATATATTGAACCAAATTGTGATCTAAATCAAGAAAATATAGAATCGTTAGAAAGATTAGAGTAAGTTATCTATATAGTTATTTTAATTTTATTAATATATTTTTAAAAAATTACAGAATTTTTATTATATTAATTAGAAATCATAAAAACTCAAAAAATAATATAAAAAAATGTAAAAATATTTCTGGTATTTCAAAATGATTTGAATAGATTTGGCTAATAAATAGTCAATTTGCAGAATATATATGTGCACGTTCTCTTTTTCATATTAGTATATAGACGAATTTTTCACTTGCACAAGTTGCTTCTTTTTGCAATACTAGTTATAAACCATCTCTAATAGTTTCTAAACTAACTAAACCTAAAGCTCCATAGAAAATGCTAATTCTTAAAAAACCAGGTAATATAAATAAATTATTACTTGTTATTAATTCAAAATTCAAAATTCACAATAAAGATATAATATTATAATACATGTAGATAAGTATATCTTTTGTTTATC